TAGAAATAGACTGAAAAAGGCACAATGTTAATAATTAGTAATCCTAGCTGGAGACTATCTGGGTGTTTATATCATACTATTCTTTCAACTTTGCAATTGGCCTGAAAAATTTCAAAATAAGAACTTTGTGGAAAAATGACTTTCTCCATGCAGTTGTAAAATGTGGAGTGTTGCAGAAAGTTTACGAGTTGGTAATAAGCAAGATGGAGCCAATAAATGTTTTAAGAATATTGATAAGTACAACATAAGGCAACATTATGTGAAGTCACCATCAGGAAAAAACAGCAATAGATGGCATATGTTGAAGATACCAGAAAAACAGTTATTCTTTTTAGATAAAAGTACCTAGTAGCCTATAAAGTCATAACCCAAGGTCTAATGTGAACAGTTTCAAGTTAGAGCACTGTACCTGATATGTAACAAGTTGTCAGTAGATGTTTCCTGAATGAATTAATGAGTCTATGAAAGAAATACAGTGGTCACACACAATTACTCTGAGCTATTGTTTGTTTTTATTCACAATCCATATTGGTAGCTGTTGGTGTGGGGATCATTTTGATCTTCCATTGAAAAACAAGCATAAGGACTTTTTACAATGTCTATCATTGACTCTATATGGGCTCTGCCAGAATGCCCCAGAATGCATTGTTTGATGAAGGAGAATTTCCAAAAACTAATAATAATAATAACAGCATCAGAAGAATTGGTTAAAAATGAAATTCCTATTACTCTTCCTATCTTCCCTGAACATACTGCTTTTATTGCTTGTTTATCTGAAACCCTCTGTTGTTCAGATAAATACTTAGTATGACATGCAATGTTTTTAAATAGGATATCAGATTTTTCTTGGGTTTTGAATTAACTGAAGAGCCTTAAGAAATAGATATTGAAGGTGTTGTGAAACTTCCACTGTAGTTTTATCAAGAGTTGTTCAAGAGATCTGAAATGCGGAAAATAATTAGAAATAGAGAATGTAAATCACCACTAACCTCTTCTGACAAACTCTCATATCAAAAGTAGTTTCACAAAGAAGCCAAAACAAGTTCATGCTTTCCGATATCACCGGCTACTGAATTTTATACTACCTAGAGAGGGAATTTTATAAACATAATCAAATTGCCTCTCTGTGCTGCTATTTTTAATTCTATTGGACAATTAGTAAATGGTCTCTTCTCCAATGGCTACAAGTTATCAGGATGGTATCTGCTTCAAACATCTTTGGCTAGCTTTCAGTTAGCAGGCTTTTAAAACAATTCCTTTTCCCCTAATTGCCATTCCTCTTCCAGGAAGAGATAATTTTCATAAAACTTTGTAGGTAAAAGATACAAATTATGTAGTCTATTTGCTTACTTTTTAGGTAAAGAATTGATTCACAGAAAGGTAAAATGATTGGCCTGGGATCTAGCTAGTGGAAGATTAGAACTAAATGTAAACCTTTGGTATTCTGGTTCAGTGAACTTTCTACTGCATTAAAATGCCTTAGTTCTTTGAGGTTCAAAGTAGTCCTGTTTTACCTGTGATGTCTTATTGCTCCAGTTATTGACTTTTATAAGCACAAAACGACGGAAAAGATTACTATCGACTTTCCTTATGTAATATCAGAAGAACTTTAGCAATGAAAATTACAGAAAAAAAGGACTACTGATTATGGAAATTTCCAAGCATATAATCAAGATGGAAAACTCAATCTTAGATTTAATAAGAAATAGTTTGATGCTATATTCGTGATTACACATTCGCAGATTCTAGCAAATATTCTGAAGGTGAAATTAGAGTACTGATTAATTTTTAAACACACTTAACTCCCTTAGAGATGTCATTCAGCAGTGTTTCTAGTCAGGAAATATCCTGATACGAGCTAATATAAAATTTAGAGGGATCCCTGAATGGCTATATCCCAAGGCAACTTTTGGGGCAAAAATATAAATGTGACAACTCAGTCTGTGACTGTCTAGTAGAAAAATAGCACTGGAACCTAGTACCAGACTTGGTTGAAAAAATTTTAAAACTAAAACTAGGTTTTTATTCCCCTCCCCCACAAATAGAATAGTTTCTAAAGACCAAGTAACATAAATGTCTCTACTGGATTCCTTGTCTATGAGCCCACTTTGCTCTTCAGAATGATGACTGCATCTTCTACATCTATTGTATTTCATGATTTTCAAAAACTACACGTCCTCACTACAACAATACTATGTAATAGTATCATTTTACCAAGAGAGGAACTGATTCTTTTTTTTTTTTTTTGTATCGGTTTTATTTAAATTTTACAGAAACCTGATCGGAGTTAAGTATGTAATTATAAGTCCAGTAACAATTTCTACAAAAATGCACATACAATGCCAGAATTCCTTAAAAGCAACTAATATCATATTTGTGTTTTGCATAAAACATGCATTAATATGTTGGCCAAAATCAAGTCTCTACAGGAAGAGATGGTCCAATATAGTCAATAAGAAAACTAGTTGTGAATAACAGGTTAAAAAAGAGGTTTCCAGTTAATGTGAAAGATGGAATAGTACCTTTCATAAAATGGCCCTTTGGCATTGGGATAACTGATTGGTATTATTGTGCTGCATGTAACATCACCTCCAAGACTTGGTCCTGATCGATCACAAGAAGCAAGGGACTTTCTGGTAGTCACGTCGGATATTTGAGAAGATTAAAAACTTCCAGGACGTGATGGTATACTAATAGTGCAACACTGCAGAAAGGGTTCGAAACATGCTTAGACTTGGAAGAGTTCCCAAGCTTGATAAATAACCTCAAAGACACCTGAGCCTTTGAACAGAACCCTCTGCAGGCCAGTTCAGGGCTCACCAGCATGTACTGCGTCCACAAGACCTTCCAGCTACAGATACCACCCTTCGTGAGGATCTGTTATTAGAGACTGAATGCCAGAGAACATGGTTGTATCATTTCTTTGAGGCTTTGACTTTCTGTAAGGCATAGTTCATCTCGTCCAGGGATTGGGCACTCGAATAAATACATGAATGCTGGACACAAAAGGAATATTAATATACATGAGTGGCCCACAGCCTCAAATGCTTTTGTTAACATACATCAAGGTGTGTCTCCTACTGTTTCTCCAGAGGGAGAGAGAAGCCGAGGCTCTATATAGATCACAGGGTGTTTCCCACAAAGACTGAGGGGCATCTCACATCAATAATAAGGAGGTGTCACATCAACTGAAAGGACTACCCTCAAATGTGGGGCTCTATACAACCTTCCACGAGGATCTTAAAAAAAAAATCTCACAGTTGTTAGGGAAGCAGAGATGTACATTAACATTAAATACATAAAACTTGTCATTTGTGCAGCCTTGGGCCTTGTTTGGAATCTCTTCCACAGTCTGTCTCTTCCAAAACTGGGCTCACTGTCCTGCTTATTATGCGTAAGCTAACTCAGGATCAGTTTTCTTCAGCACAGATTCAAGGGGAAAAAATAATAATTTATTGAAGTTCTAATAACATTTTCATAACAGAATATCAAAATAGGTCCATTTTTGATATATGCTTATGAATATCCCTGATAATATCAAGAAATCCAGAGGACTTCAAAAACCACCAAGATTTCACAGGGGTGAGACCCGGTCTGTTTTCTAGGCAGCAGAAAAGGGACTAGTATACTGGCAAATGTTCTCCAGGAAGCCCTGTGAGCGCTACAGTACTGAAATTCTAATTCTAGTGCCAGTGGAATCATCAAAGAAAATTTCACTTTAAATGTATTAGTAAAATTCGTAACAAAGGTTTGCTTCCTCAACACTGTCATCCATTAATTTCCCACCTGTGACGAACATTCAGACCAGAAAACCATCAGTTCTGGTTACTCTGGAGGCTGGGCCCAGAGAAAACAAGTTCTAAGATCCTTTCTAAGCTATGACCAAACCTCAGAAAGCAGGGATGTGAAAGAAGGAGCAGACCAGGTGTGAGGAAGCTTTGACCCAAGGCACCACGATCATAGGGGTGAGGTGACCTGTTTAGGTTCTAGGTGACAGGAAGAGAGCCTTCTATGATGCCTGCAGAGGAGGTCCTAGAAGGCAAAAGCTCTGTGGCAAAACACACACATCTGGGAGTGAAATAACAGATCATTAAACAAGAAACCAATTTGCTTTCTCAAAACCAAATCAAACTTTTAAAAACATATGCAAATAACCCTGGGTGCACTGGAGTAGGTGTATACTGGAGAAGTCTCTGGAATGAGCTGCATTAGCTATGTCACAAAGGATGCTGGCTGAGAAGTCAGCATCCACACTGTGGCTACTGCAGCTAAGGAGAACGAAGGGAGTGTGAGGCCTCTCCAGACAGAGGACGGAAAGGGGGCCAAATGCGAACCACACCTCTTTTATTATTCCAAGAATAGGAAGCGGCATTTTCATTGGCCTGAATGAGAAAGCCTCACTCTCCACTCTAGTTGCAGTAACACTGCATCCCTTCCACTCTTCTCTTTTTTGACTGAAACTCTTCAAAGAATTGCTGAATGTCCTCTCTCTTAACAACGGTGCCTTCGTCAGCAAATCTCTTGAGATAGTCTTTAAGTTCAGTCTTCAAATCATTGTATTCACAAATGAATTCCACTTGCTGGACTCTGTTCACGCTGCTAAGCGTGTCCATTAGAGGATCTCTCCTATCAGTGGCCTGCTCAATCTTGCCTTTGTTTTCATAAGCCAGAACTGTGTCATATTCATCTGTCAGGAACAAGACATCTAGATCTCCATACATTTTCATATAGTCTTGGCAGGTGCACAACTTGCTATGCCAGTTCAGGGGCCAATAGGTGGCAGTGTCTTTTTTTATAAACTGCTTAGCTTTAAGCTCCTGAAGTTTGCAGCCAGATTTTGATTCTGCATTGAGGCTTTCATTCTTAAACACTGTCTGGAGATCAGATTCAGAACTAGAGCTAGCACATGGTTCACTGTTCTCTGCTTTAAGCTCCTGGACATCCCTTCCCTGTTCTGGAACATCCTCTTTGAGGGTACTATCTTGATGCTCTCCATTTTTGGGTTTAATAACTTCCTGATCACCTATTCCACCAATATTCCATGCCAATCCATCATCCTCAGTGGATAGTTTGACTACTGCCAATTGTGCAGCATAAGCCCACAAGAAAGAACAACGTTTCATGCAGTCCTGGCATACCATCTCTTGAAAATCCCCACTCTCAGGGGGAACGGCACCAAGATGCCTTCTGTGGAACCATTCTTCACAGACTACACACTGGATCATCTCATCTGGAATCTCGTCTTCGGGATATATAAGGTCTCTTGCAAATGCAGTACAATCCAAAAAAGTTATCATTATACTTATTGCCAGAATTTACCTTTGCTTTGTCAGGAAATAATTTGCATTCCAAATTCTTAAACTTGCTGTTTCCACAATCACAACGAAAATTTCTTTTTGTGTATAGCTCAAATAGTTTGTGTCTTCCATGACATTCGTAACTGCAAGCTAAACAAATTCCTGCTGGTTCTTCTCCCTCTGGGATGCTACAGGCCTGTAGTGCTTGCCTCTTTGCTGAGCCCTGCGAGTAGGAGCATTTCTCGGAGTCGCTGCTGCCCAGGACAGCACACGCCTCCTTCTCCAGCTCCTTGTCCTCCTCAAGGACGTCGATCAGCTCCGGCCATTCTCAACTGTCACCCGAACAGCGGCTCGGCCCCGGCGGAGGCAGGACGGAACTGATTCTTTATGAGGTTAAACAAGTTGCTTTAGGGATTGTTGCTAATACGTTAACAAAGCTGGATCTTGAAAGCAGCTCTGAATCCAAGCTAGAGTGAAGCTCTTTTTTTCCCTCTTCTCCGGTCACACTGTTCAGAGTACAAAAGTCATGGTCCTGTGCTCTCATAGGGCACCAGACTATTGCAAGAGCAAGTAATTACACCCATGTAAGAGCTAAGGTTCATGATAACCAGGATCATGAGGACAATGGTCCCATAGTAAAAAAGAGAGAAGCAAGGGCAATAGAGGGTAATTTGGATCTATTTTTCTTTATTTAACATGTAGTACTTGAAGAAGGTAGATGATAATTTGAGAGCCTATCTTCTTCCATCTCTTTCTCTATGTCTCTGTCTCTCTGTCTCTTTCAAGGAAATATGAAAATATTTATAAAACACTAAAGCAAAGACAATACATATTTGTATAGCTGGAGATTATAAGAGAGTTTAAAAAACTTTAATATACCTTATATAGTCTTTACATGGTTTTAAAATCAATAAAGAAACTAATTTTTCTGTTCTTACTAGAAATAAAAGAATATAGGCTAATCACACTATAATCCACTGATTCAACAAAGCCAAATAGGTAAATTCCCTCATCTCACTTAATGATCATATTAAATCAGTTACTAAGTCCCATACACAATCACACTAGATTCATTTCCAAACTGTTCAATCCAACTTCTCCTTTGTCACTATCTTACTGTCTTAGACCCTTATCATTCTACTCATTGAAAATATTAATTCTATTAAGAGCCTGCTATGTACCAGACAAAGTTCTAGGCACATTAGTCAACAAAGGAGAAGATTCCTGCCTTAAACTCTAGCAAGGCAGAAAGACAATAGAATAATTTAAAGAATAAATTGAGTAATATGTTAGAAGATAACAAATGCTTTGGGAGGAAATGTGAAGCAGGTCATAGACGATTGTGAGTGCTAGGAAGAGATGGATGTTTGCAATCTTGAATAGGGTGACCAGGGAAGCCCTCACTGAGAGGGTGACACTTGAGTCAAGGTTTAAAAGCAATAAGGGAATTAACTCTGCATTTATGAGACAAAGATCCTAAGATGGGGCATATCTAGCATTTATGAGAATCAGCAAGGAGGCCAGCGAGGCTAGAATGAGGGAACCAAGGAAAGAAGAGTAAGAGACAAGGGCAGACGGGTGATGGGAGCTTGTAAGTTATTGATTATAAAGACTTTATCTTTTACTCAGAGCGATTTGAAGAATCATTGCAAGAGCTGAGCAGAGAAGTGACATGACTTGGTTTGATTTTTAAAAGAATAGCTCTGGCTGCTGTGTCATGATTATCCTATAAGAGGCAAAGATAGAAGCAAGAAAACAAGTGAAGATTTTATTACAGAAACCCAGAAATCCATTTCTTGTTCTGTCTACAAAAAATAAACTTTAGTATGTCTTAGTCTTTATGCCTTTCAGTCCATCTATCATCCTGACATCAGTTATTTCCTGAAATAAAAGTTTGATCACATGATGTGCCTATTTCAAAATTTCAGTGATTGCCTGTTGCCCATAGATTTATGACCAACTTCTTCATACAAATCTCTTCAAAGTCTGACACGAATCTATTTTTTTCAGATTAATCTTCAGCTCCTTTCCCCATCCCTGATGTCTTTGCTTTAGCTATAAAGGTTATTTGCTATTTCCTGAACATGCCATGTGCCGTCGGGCCTCTGTGACTTTGCGCTTGTCAGTCCACTGGTAAGAAAACACGTGTTTTTTTGTTTGTTTTTTTTTCTTTTTTCTGCCTAGTGAATTTAAATTTCCTTATGGAGATTTAACTAAGTCATGATCACTTCAGTGAAGACTCCTCTGGCTCTTTATTGCAAAGCCAACTCTTCCTTCACTATGTTATGTTGTACTTTATACATATCCCTCCTAGAGCACTTATTACATCAGTTACTTCTTCATCCACCTATCCCTGAAAAGGTGATGTGCTTCATGAGGATGGCTGACTTTATACCCTATGCCTTGAACTGTAGTGCATTGCAAATTAGATACTGAATAATTGGCTTTTGTTAAATGAATAAACAAAAATAATTTTTAATATAAAGATCTCATGTTTAATAGTTACTCAAACATAAATTGAAAATGCAAGCCCTTAAGAAATTTAGAGTGGTATAGTAGATAGGAAAATAGTTCTTATATTTATATTTGCTTTCAATACGTATTTCTTAAACCAAATATTAAAAGAAAAACTTATGTCCTAGTCATGTGCTCTTGGAGAACTGTAAATTTTCTGTCGAGCTACAGTTCAAATGACATTCAGCTTTGAAAAACTTTATTGTTAACTAGGCCACGCTAATTAGTATGGCCACAAAGATAAACAAATAAGATTTTCTTCCCATAGAAAGTTCATAAACAAAAGGATCAGTCATATACAAACAGCTACCTGAGTAAATAAGAGGTAACATTGGAAATCACTGGCGAAAGGACCCTTCAAAGTGGTTAGGAAAACCAGCTTTTTACATGGAAAAGAAATAAAAAGTTAGATAAACCCTTCATGGCCTAAATGAGGAAGAAAATTAAAAACTTTCAGTGTCTGGGAGAGATGAGAAAAAAAATCAATACTTTTATTAATATGTAGACAGTTTGTTTTATTTTTTTAACCTCAGAATAGAAAGAATGTTTAAAACAAGATATAAAAATATACGTTAAAAATTGTTAAACTTTAACTATGTTGGGATAATGAAAGTCAATCTAACAAAAAGATTGAAATGGTACAAATGATACCATAAACTGATTTAAAGACAAGAGACTAGAAGAAGATTATGACAAATTTTTGACTAAAAATGATTCATATCTAGAATATATGCAGCAGAGGTCATACACATAATTAAGAAAAAACAAACATTGAAATAGGAAAGGATATGAGCAGACTGTATGGTCAATAATTGCATGTTAGACTTAGAGCTAGAAATGGTAATAATGACAATAAAATAATAAGAAGAATGATAAAAGTTGATGCTTTGAGTCTATTTTATTTGTTTCCATACAAAAAAAGTAAAGACTCCATCATAAAAATTATTGGAGCTAATAAATGAATTAGGTAAATTGGCAAAATACAAAACCAAAATACAAAAAAGAAAAGTGTTTCAATATACTAACAATATACCATCCAAAAAACAAATTAAGAAACCAAATCTCTTTTTATTATCATCAAAGAGAACAAAATATTTAGGAATAAATTTAACCAAGGGGGTCAAAGGTCCATACACTGAAAACAATAAAACTTTGATGAGAAGTGTTGAAGAAATCTCAAACTAGAACACTAAATGGAAAGTGTTCAGAAAATACAAAATTAACATTTTTCTTATTACGTAAAGTTATCTGCAAATTAAAAGCAATTCCTATCAAAATCCCTATGGCATTTTGCACAGAAATACAATCTTGAGCAAGAAGAACAAAGCTGAAGGTATTGCACTACCTGATTTCAATATGCTGTAATGCTATAGTAAGCAAAACAGTATGGTACCGGCATAAAAACAGACATGGAACAGATGAATGGAACAGAGAGCACAGAAGTAAATTCATGCATTTGCAGCCAATTGATTTTCCAAAAAGTTGCCAATAATACACAATAGGAGAAAAGACAATCTCTT